CAGTTAATTTATGTCTTTGTTCATAAAAAACAAAGTTTAGCTTCTCGAGAATCTATCGGGGTTAACATCATACGAAACCAAAGATGTTATGAGTGTGTTGCTACCTCAATCTTATCTGTAACTCGTGCTGTTGGCGACAATTTCATGGTCGACGGAATAATACGTGAGTACCAAAACGTCTTTCTAATTTAATTGAAAATCAATTCGTAAATTGGCCAGGAATCAAGAAATAGCGTAAGAGTTTTATTAGATATTATCATGTTAGAAAGAAATGTCTGTGCACAAATAGAAGATTAGACAGGTTAAGCTCTCAGCACTCAGTCATACAATCATTTAACTAGTGTAGCGTTAATTCTTTTTATAAATCTACAATAACACTGTGAATAGGTAAATGAATTGGTTGGCTAGAATGGAAAGACACATAATTAATTAGATCTTACTTAGGGTTGCAGTGAACAATGGCTTTTAGAGATCGGTATATCATGCACCTTGGTGCTTAGACTCCTATTTGATTTCAGCAGTTTATGCACAATAAATGGGTAAAAGTAATAAATAACAGGACAATCCATGTAAGGATTTTATTCAGTAATTTTATGAATCGCTTTATGTATTAACGAATTCATGCGCCTTCTCGATAAGGAATGAACGTAAGATATTACACTTCTCATAAACATAATGCAGGATTCTTCTTTAAAACGCATATAAAACAGTTTTGTAAAAAGAAGCTTTAGCAAAATTTCTGCTGATGAATTTCTAAAGCTCCAAAAAATATTTTGTGGCTTTTTTAGAAATGCTTTTTATTTTTCAAGTTCCATTTCTTTCCTATAAGGATTTCGTTAAGCTGTACAAATCATTGCTAGCGGTATTCGATCGAGATGTTTTTATTTTGCTCAATACTTGAAATTCTTCGATAACAGCTGCTTCAGTTGCTTACCAATCGTTTTTCTCTAAAGTGTTCTGAAGATTTTTCAGTCTGTGGTGTTCTGTATCAGATAGAAGAACATCTGATTTCCACAGTAGTATGTGTTTATAACTTAACAGGTGAAGGTAATCAATTCTTTTTTAACTAAGAGAATTTTAAATTGCATCAGTATAAGTATAATGATATCAATCAAATTTCTTTAAACTTCATTCCTTATATTATTATTTATCATTATTTTTACTCTAACTATTGAAAATAAAACTACACTCGTTTTTGCAGCTTCGGCCTATATTGTTTTCTGCGTTGGTTGATTAAGCTAACCAAGTTTTCTGGATAAGCTAACCAAGTTTTCTGGAGAAGCTAACCAAGTTTTCTGGAGAAGAAAACTATCATTGATTATTGCTTAAATAACATTAGACTAAGTAGTTAATATTTATTGCACTTTGACCCCCCCCCAAAAAAAACAAGTAACAATATGAAAGAATGAATCCTGGTTAATGTCTAAAATCAAATATTTATCATACAAAATTTCAAAATTTAAAATGCTAAAAATTTGCTTTAAACAAATTTAAAGTGTAGAAACTTGTAAGGTTTTATTTCATTGAGCCCCGTTACCTGACTATTTTGGCTTTTACAATTGTCAACTTCAACCAGAATATAAATTAGTTAAAGTGTAAATAATCTTCGATTTGGTAGCACAGGATAGGATAGTTCTATTCTGTTTTAGTTCTCCTTCTGCTGCAATTTAACTTTTCGAGTTAAGTTTCTGCTAGCTGTGATATCTTTACTAGTGCTTGGTCAACGGTGAGTCGAGGTTTAAGTTAGACGCGTTAATTTTGTATTCTGGATTTGATTATGTTTGAACATGTGTTTTAATTACGAGGCAGCGGGGTTTTCTTTCTTTCTTTTATCTGCTAAACTTTCAGTTTGTATAACTGTTAGGTGTTAATGAATAAATTTAAGTTAATTTTTTACTTTAGTTGTTATACTTTTGTTTAGCATTCAGACAAGACAAAAAGTCGTCTAGTAGTCTTCTGTCGTTACTCTGAGGTGAACTGTTACTGTAAATAGTTTAGCATAACCGTATAACTTCACTCGAGAAATCGAAAACACAGCTCAGCAGTTTGGGATCGTTTATGTTAGATATATGGTGCAAAATATCTCCATTGGAAAGGCTAATTTAAGATTGTCTTCTACAAATATTTTGTAAGGTTCAGAATGACTTAATCGCATTTTGTTGCCCTAAACTTGAAGATTCTCATAACAACGAAACTGCTGCAGCTCAGCTAAAGATATCGATCGGATCGTGAAGAAATTAGGCAACTTTCAAGTCCAGTGGGTAAGCCTTAGTGAGGTTTTGTTAACAATTAAAAAAATTCCTTCAGTTTCAGTGTTTAATGAAGTTATCTAAAGTGACATATCATTTGGAAAAGAACATCTGTCTGTTCTCTCTTCGTATATGTCTCTTCTTCTAATCATCTCTTTCTATTATATCAACAACTGTGTAAAGGTCCATTTACGGTTAACATGGGCGACTTGGTTGTCTAAAGTAACAGCGTAACCATATTAACTGAAAAATCTTATTCCTTGAAAAACAGTTTTGGATTGTATGAAGAAAACATTTTTATTGAGCAGGTTTCTAATTCATTAATGTAATTTGATTATTTTATGTATTATTTTTGCTGAGATTGTGATATTGACTTTAGCTCATCGATCATAATCAAAAGCTCAAAATAGAATTATTAATAAAAAGAGGCATAGTTTAACCTGACAAATTAAAAGAAAAACAATTACCCCATTGGTCTTCAGAAGTAACATAGCCACTCCTAGAGTATAAGACGGCCGAGCGGTAAAAGACGCTGAACACTGGTAGTTCGGTCCGAGGTTCGAATCCCGCGAACGGGCTGGCTGCATCGGCGTTTTCGTGGTTTTCCCCATGTGTAACGTGTATACGAGCCATTTTCACTTAAAAAGTCCTCCACGAAGGCATCCCTCCCTTTAGGCAGATAACCCTTGTGTGCTTTGCCATAATTGAATAATCCCAATCCCAATCCTAGAGAATAAGAATGCTGACACTGAATGAAGATACTATTTGGAAGTGCTTAACTCCATACTGCTATTTGATTTTTTTTTTTTTTTTGTATATTACACTTGTTGAAAGGAAAAAGATATTGACCTTATAAGGTTTTATATGCGTAGAAGCTTAAATCAATGTCCTTCAGCCCTTACTTATACTTCCAAGCGAGTTACCACTCATTAAGTAGACAAAGTCCTACGAGAAACTAACCTTATTACTAACTTTAAATTTAACAGGTTAGGTTATTTAATAACGGCAAAGCCTCGAGGGGTATCTGTCTAAGGGGAGGGATGCCTTCGTGGAGGACTTTCTAAATGAAACTGGCTCGCATACACGTAACACATAGGGAATAGCACGAAAACACCTATGCAGCCAGCCCGTTCGCGGGATTCGAACCTCGGACCGAACTACCAGTGTTCAGTAACTTTACAGCTCGGCCGCTCTAAATTTAACAGAAGACAACACTCGTGCTTATAAAACAAACTCCGCCTCTTACAGGTAACTAAAATATCATATGCTAAAATTCAAAATTAAGTAACTTCATCGGAGACTACGCAAATAGTCTATTTGAACTGGCTTAGTTATTTAATGGGTGTATTTAACGCCGGCTAACAAAATGGTTAAAGCCGGATGGCGATTGAAAGTAAATGCAAGTGGTACGGCCAGAAACTGCAAGTCGAAAACATTCAAATTCTTGGCTTAAATTCTCATGTTAGAATATAAGAATGCTTACGTTAAACTAAAATAGCTTAAACTTTTCATGCTTAATATTAAAATTAGGTTATACGATGGGAATTTTTAGAAGTTGACTATTACAAAATGGATAATATTTTTTTAAGATAATTTCAACGCATTTACTCTTTCAAAACTTCTAAATACTTTTTTTATAAAACTAAGGTTTTACAGAAATGAAATAGATCATCTTTCTTCAGCACTCTGCGATGTTGTTGAAGAATAAAATTCATTTTGCTCCAATTATATAATGATGTTTGCAAAACTGCTTTAATGTGTTTTGTAACTACCATGTCGGTACTTTTCTGTTTTGCCGGCGCAGGCGATGAAGTCGCCAATAATGGTACAACTGATGCCAAACGGAATATCCTCGCTAGTAACCTTTTACGCCTCATTTTCAAAACACGTCGCAGCCATTTCTTATCACATTGATTGTTTTTTTCAATACTGGCATAAAATTACACAGAGTTTTTACCAGATAGTTCAATTTTATGCTCTAAGATCATTCGCGGTAATTAAGTCAATTAGGAAGCAATCACACCGCTCACCCAAAGACGAAAATATAGTAAAGGCAAAGTGAAGGGTTAAATTCTAATGGAATGCACCAGCGAAATAAAGCACTGCCGTTTTATATAATTTCTGAGTAAGCTATTCGTACGAAATGAAACAATTCTTGCATTTAAACTTGTATTCCAAACTGAGATTTAACTTGAAATTAATATAGATAATTACTGAGAGAATTAGATTTTTGTAGCGTAGTTTACGTGAGATGAGATTTCTTGGGGTCACATGATACGAACCGTCGAATCAGGATGTTGAACCATGAATGCATAGTAAATTCTTAAATTAATGTCTTTTTACAAATTTATTGTCTTTATTTATTGGCTTTTTACAAAATTTTAAAAGCTATTAAAATGTTTATGCCTTCAAAATAAAAAAGTCTTAGAACTAACATTTGTTAACAATTTTTATGTGTATACTGTATGTTGTCGCCAATAAAGTGTGCTTGGCGAGATTTGCGCCGGCAAAACGGAAAAGTACCTATATGGCATATTTTTAGAAACCGTATCCCATTTTCAATATAAAAGTAGTTTTATTACTTTGACAGTTAAGGCAATACTTTAATATTTTTAACGTGATCATTATTATTATTTTATTGCTCAGATTCTTAAATAAATCTGTGCGCAAAAGAATTTTCGTATTGTTATTAGAAACAAAATTTATTTTCGAATATTACGTTTTTCTAAGGTACTAAACATTTTCATTTAGCTTCGAAACAAAGCTACTAATTTGTGTGTCGATACCAAGTACCAAAGCCAAAATGAGAAGTTTGGACTGGAAAAATGCATCAAAGATGATCCGAAACAGCAAGGAGAACAGGTATTATTTTTTATTAATTTTTGTGCTGAAAAATATTAAAAAATGACTGTTTTGAGTAATTCGTTACAAAAAAAACTTCTTAAAATTGTTTTTAACCTTTTCAATTTTTTTTAATATTCTACAACTATTAACAGTGAAGACTAATAAGGTTTTGCTGATTCTAGCTTAGCAAGTGTATAGTTTTAGATATTATGTGAGTAGGATTTTGGAAAAATTAATCATGCGCTTGCCAGGTATCGAACCCAGGACCTTTCAGTTGCTAGCTGGATGTGCTAACCACTACACCCAATGGTAGATGCGTTTGAGCCTTACATGCAATTAAAAAAAACCGGGAAGGAGGAGGTCAGACCCCCCACTTTATTTAAATCCGAACGTTACTAGAAGGGCATTAAGATTTTAAGTAGTATTCCTAATACTTAACAGTGCTCTCACCAGAAACCCGAGGCCTTCCATTTTCTAGCTAGATATGCTGATTACTTCCCTTCATTGTGAGAATGCCTATAATTCCTAAGGGAAAATTTTCTGAAAGGACAATAATTTTACTTAATATAAGATTTTGATAAGACTAATTAAATATGTGACTTTGATGAGACTAACTTATACGCATTCCTAAATAGTTCAATAGCTTTTTTTATCAGACGTAAAGCAAAAGCAGATGGGAAGCGTAAACCACGATGTAGCCTTGGCTTCTAATGTTTAAAATTAATTTATGATTAGGAACAGCATGAACTATAAACAAATAGCTAAGTTTATTGAATTTTATTTTCCAGCTATCGAAATGCGACGCTACGAGCAACGTTTTGAAACCAAAACCTAGCAGTCATGCATCAGAATTAGTTGCCATTCAGCATAAAGAAATTTAAATATAAATATGAACTACTTGTTGCCATTCAGCATAAAAGAAATATAAATATGAATATTAACAAAATATTAAAGTTAATTTTTTAAAATAATTAAACACCTGAACAAATATGACATAAAAAATAATTATTTCTCATGCAATAACTGGCCACTACAGACTTATATTATGCTCGGTCTTACCTATCAAGAAGAAAAGAAGAGCTGACTTTATTTTATTAATTAGACAGAATTGTAAATAGTATTTCCAAAATTTATTGATATTTTTTGTATTGCTATAATTAAAGCAAAAGTCTTTTTCTAATTGCTTAGTAAGATTCTGAAGATTTTCTTGCTCATAAAATTATCATTTTAATTTCTGATACAAATTTTCAGTAATGTTCAGTAATGTTTTGAATGAGTTATATCTCTTTAATTTTGCTTGTCTTCCCTTTTTTTTTTTTTTTTTTTCATTTTGCTTTCTTTCTTTGTTTTATTTTCCTTTCTTTTTTTTTTTTTTTTTTCTTAACTTTTCTTTCTTTATTCTTTGTAACCTAGCTTTCCTTGTTTAGTTCTCCTGAATAGCGTTTCATATCACACCTGTCACCACTTGCGATCAAATTTTCACACTGGGACATTCATTCCTTGCTTTGAGAATAACGAGGAGGAAGCATTTAGGATTTCTGAAGGATACTTACTCTTTTACTTTAGAAATGTTGCTAAATTAAGAATTGATCTAAGAATAATATTCGTAATAATAAACTCAAATGTTATATACTAGTATACTATAAACTTTTATTTTATAATTACAAAATCTTAACCATCTAATACACCATTTTTGTTTCGAACTTATTATGAAGAAAGTATATTCAGGCTCTCAGTGTTCATTTCATAAATTTAAAAAAAAAAAAAAAAAAAAAAAAAAAAAAAAAGTTGTTTTCTGCAAATTCAGTCGCTTTTAAAACCTGGAACCTTTCCATGAAGAAAGTAAGTCTTGCGTAAATTAAATGTAAAGCGAAGCTTTTTGTCACTGAAGATTTATGACCTTTCGTTTTGGAACATAGATTTTGAAACAAAAAGCTAAGGGCTACAATGGGTTGTCAGAGATGACAAAAGATTTTGCTCGCTCGGCTGATTCCACTAAAAGCATTGCAAACTTAGAATGATTAGAAATTTTTTTTTCAAATGTTACAAATTTAAACAACATTCAGATAAGTAAAACGAGGAGAGTAAGAAAGATTATAAGTGAAATTATGTATAATTTATGGACTAGAAAAGAGGATTGATCATAAACAAGAAGGATTATTTGATGATAAATAAGAAAGATTTTACGTAAGTAGTGTAATATCAGTAAAACTATAACGTAATAGATAAGTTATTACTAAGCTTAGCAGGAAAGTAATTATCGGAAAATAATGATCTACATTAGAAACTTAAATATCTTAAGATTTCATATAATTTTAATCCTCTGCTTATTATTGCTTTTAATTCTTATTACAAAGATTACAAAGTCTCTTTTTTATTAATAAATTTTGTAAAATACAGTAATAAGTTCGCTACTTAACGCGAACCGGAAGCTACACAATTCCTTATTTTCTCCTCCCGCTTAGTTTGGTGTTATTAGATTACAGCAAAGCGCTCGAGGGCTATCTGCCTTAAGGGAGGGATACCTTTGTGGAGGACTTTCTAAGAGGAACTGGCTCGTATACACGTTACACATGGGGAAAATCACGAAAACGCCCATGCAGCCAGCCCGTTCGCGGAATTCGAACCTCTGACCGAACTACCAGTGTTCAGAGACGTTACCGCTCGGCCGCTGGAAATGCAGCCGCAGCGACATTACACCTCCCAATTAGTTATTAGCTATCTGTTAAAGACTGTGGACGCAATTCAGAGTTTTAAGGTGGCGTAAAAATCGCTAGGAAATCTGGGATTGAAATTCCTCCAAAACCTTAAATTATGCCTTGAAGGATATTTCACCGGCCGTCTAGACGGTATAGTGTTTAGGAAAGCCTGATTGCGATACCAAAGGGCCAGGGTTCGAATCCCGGAGAAGGCATAGATGTAAAAATTGTCTTTTCCTTCATAGGATGCAATGGTGGCCCACCTATTAGGCGCCTCCATAATAAACAGACCACAGATCTGGCCTTAGGAGTGGCCGATGCCGGCACAGACAAGTGCCCACCATTAGGAAAAAAAAAAAAAAAAAAAAAAAAAAAAAAAGATATTTCGCCATTCCTTTTCAAGAGCGAGACGAAACCAACGCCAGAAGCTGATCATGTTTCTTATGTAGTAAGTCGCCTAGACGGTATTAGTGGTTAGGGGAGCCTGCTGCGATACCGAAGTTCACGGGTTCGATTCCCGGAGAAGGCATGGTTGTAATCGTCCATTCCATAATAAGAGGTAACGTGGCCCATCTATCAGGTACTTCCACAATAAAGTTGCTACCACTTGCGGCCTACTAGTTTCCAAGCCTAAGTCGACTAAGTGCTCACCAATAGGGGGGGGGGAATTCATGAAGTAAAAGAAGTTTTCAAAATCGACGGGCAGTTAGATTTGACATATGGACATCGGCGAGCGGTTGGACTTACATATCAAAGAGCTTATGGAGATACACGATCAAATTGCTAAAATAAACACTTTAGACCTAAATCCACCGGAAATGCATATGAAAAACAAAAGGCCTCCGTTCAATTGAAAAAGGATTACAAACTTCGGAAAACATGGACTTTAACGAGGAACGCGTTGTAGCTGCAAAGCAAGGAATAAAAAAATTATTAATTTGCTGCTAAGAAATTTTACATTATATTGAATCGCTATTGCACTGAAACGTCAAATGAATTTCGTAACTTTTATGAGGTCATCGATATCTAAAGAACACTACTTAAAGTAGCTTTTCATTTTAATATTATTTGCTATTAATTTGTATATAATACGTGCATTCTTTGTTAAATACTTTTCTTGTAATAAATTATTTTTTTATCCTTTGGTCTTGTTTACCTAAAATGCTTATATATCTATGCGCTAAAAGTTACATTCCCGACTTAGGCTAATCCGACTTGCTTTTGTCGATCCCACCTATGGCGTATTAGTGTACTGGATAATTTAATAAATAGTAATTTAAAGATCTTAATTTCGGGAATCTTAGCTCGTTTGAGATTAGTGATCGGAGATTGCACATTTATTTGTGACATGTGACTTATTGTCAGTTTGTATCAGCAGTTTATGAACTTTTTTAATTAAAAATTAATTAATGTCGTTATTCTGGCGGGAAGAAAGCTAGGAAGTAATGCTGAATTTAAGGCTTCATACCTTTTTTACTTAGACTTTTGTGGAATTCGAATGCAATCTGCAATCTTGTAGAAACTGATTTGAGAGCAAAGAATGGAAAAAACTCACTGGATGTACTAACCACTTACAACACGACAGCACGCATGAGGAAAAGCAATATTCTCTTACAGTTTCAAGAAACGTAGTCCATCCTATCAAATTTGTCTTTGTTTTTTCCCCTTTTACTGTGAAATAAATTCCTGAATTAACTTGTTTACAAGAAACGTTTTTGAATAGTGTGGCACAAAATAAAATAAGTGGGAAGTTTTTTTCAATATTTTAATAGGTATTTTGCTCCACATATATATCATCATTTTTCGCTTAAAAAGTTTTATGCCAAATAAGAATTAAGTTCAGAATTTCAAATATAGATTTTTAACATGATATTTTGGTTCAAAACTGCTCTGCTATAATGATTTATGGTTGGAATTTTTATTTTCTAAAGAACTCATTACTCAGGCGACTGATCGCAAATAGGATTGTGTCGCTTTTCCCTCTTTCGGACTTACTGGCAACTTCCTCAACAGATTCTAACTACCTACTATCCGCATCAACTAGACTACGAAAAGGTACTTCAATGTAAACTTAATACGTCATGAGGCAATAAAAGTTCTTGAAAACCATCTAAGATATTAATTTATTACAGAATATTTTCGTTCAGACTGTTTAAATTATTTAACTTAAAAAAAATAAAGCTGGAATTCACACTGAGTTATAACAATAAATTTCTTAATACACGCAATCTTATCTACAAAGATTTAAGACTAAATTCGGACAAAATTGAAAGCTAAAGAAAGCAACATTCTTATTTTTGATCTTCGAAATACCTAGTA